GAACTCCTTGCACGAGTATTGCCACAATATCCCCCATCTCTGCGATCATAGCTGCGATACCATACATTCTCTACAACTGTCCGAATAACATTATTATAATGAATATAAAATAATTAATAATTATAATATATAATAATAATTATTAAAATAATTATATCATTAATACCATATTAATTGCCCGCCACTACACTCCGATACTCTGATACATTTTTTCTGTAATTTACACTACTCCGGGAATGGTAATTTAGGTCCATTACTCCGGTAAGGCATAATCAAGTAAATTACACTTGTAATGGGTAAAGCCCGAGCCCCCCCCCTCCCTCCCGCTACTGCGCTAATGGCGTTACTCTGTGATAGAGTGTCGGCGCCGGGGAAAGTAACAGTAGAAACAGACGCAGTGTTCACGTGTGTCGCCAGCACCGCAGGCAGGCAGACGAACAATCTCTCTGTCTGTCTGTGTGTCTATGTTTGTCTCTTTCTCTCTGCCTCATTCTTCTTTCTTCTCGCTCTCTCTTCTCTCTCTCTCTCTCTCTCTCGCTCTCTCTCTCTCTGTCTCGTCAACCCCTGCGCCGCCCCTCTCTCCCTCTCTCTTTCTCTCGCTCCCTCTCTCTCTTTCTCTCTCTTCTTTGTAGTCTATCTATCTATCTATCTATCGTATCTATCTTACTATCTATCTATCTATTATCTATTCATTAATCTTATCTATCTATCTATCTGTATCTATCATCTATCTATCTATCTATCTATCTATCTATATATCTATCGGTATCTATCTATTCCTATCTATCTATCTATCTATCTATCTATCTATTCTAGCTAATCTATCTATCTATCTATCGTATCTATTCTATTATCATCGATCTATCTATCTATCGTATCTATCTATCTGCTCTCTCTCTCTTATCTCTCTCTCTCTCTCTCTCTACTCTCTCTGCCGTCCTCTCGCTTCTCTCTCTCTCTTCTCTCTCTCTCTCTCTCTTTCTCTCGGCTCATTCTGTCGTCCCTCCCTCTCTTCCCCCTCTTCCCCCTCTCTCTCTCCTTCTCCCGCTCCTCTCGTCTGCGTCTCCTCTCCTCTCGTCTCTCTCTCTCCTCCTTCTCCCTCTCTCCATCTCTTCTTCTCTATTCTCTCTTCTATCTATCTCTCCGGTTCTCTCTCTCGCGGCGGCAATTTTTAGCGCGCGCGCGTGATAGCATATAAGTAACAAAACGGCCACAACTTCGCGGACAACCGACATTTTAGAAATTGTCGGCCGAGACAAATGACCATGGCCGAGCTAACTGTCCTCTCTCTCTCTCTCTCGCGCTCTCGTCCTCTCTCGCTCTCTCTCTCATCTCTCCCTCTCTCCTCCTCTCTCGTCCCCTCGCTCCATCTCTCTCTCCTCATCTCATCTCTCGTCCTCTCCGTCTCTCGGCGTCCTGCGTCTCGATCTCTCTCTCTCTCTCGCTGCGGTGGCATTTCCGCCCGCACTTATTTACGCGAAAATTCAATTTTAGCGGCTACAAGTAACTTTTAAAGTAAAATAGCCCTAATTACGCTGGCGCCGCCGTTGCCGGGGTTGCAACGGTAAGGCGACGTCGCTCGAATGCTGGGCTGCGAATGGAAGGCGCGTCGCTCGCTGCAGGCGTGGGCAACGGAAAAGTGTCGCCCCTAGCTAGCAGGGAGCGAGGGCAGGGAGGGTAGGAAAGAGAGGCGTTAGCTCGGCCAGAGAGGAGGGATAGAGGGAGGCGAGGGAGAGACGGAGGAGAGGGAAGGAGAGTCGCTTAGCAGGGAGGAGAGAGAGAGAGAGGGATGGAGGGAGGATGAGGGGGGAGGGCGGGAGGAGGGGGATGCGAGGCGAGGGAGAGAGCGACGGAGAGAGGAAGGGATGGCAGGGAGAGAGCGGCGCGGATGGAAGTTCGTGAGGGAGGAGGCCAGAGAGATGGGTCGCTCGCAGGAGGAGGCGAGAGCACGGAGGAGAGGAGAGAGGAGGGATATGAAGTAAGGAGCGAGGCAGAGGCTGGCCCTGTGGACGTGGAGAGAGACGAGACGGCAGAGGAGACAGGGAAGGATGACCCAAGCTTGGAGGATGAAGTGACCGCTAGCAAACCGACTGATAGTGCGAACGCTGTTACACACCATGCCAGGCAGCATCAGTGATAGAGACGACCGCAGCTACTAACTGTAGCCTTTCTACTTATGCGCGCCAAGCACACGCAGCAACCACTACACACACACACAGCGCACTCTGCTCCACCTATGAGCTCTACTTCCTCACTCTCTCTCTCTCTCTCTCTCTCTCACTCTCTCTCTCTCTCTTCTCTCCTCTTTTTCTCTCTCTCTCTCATCTCTCACCTGCTCTCTGTCTCTCTCATCTCTCCTTCTCTCTCTCTCTCTCTCTCTGTTCTCTCTCTCTCTCTGTCCCTCTCCCTTTCTCTTTTCTCTCTCTCTGTCTCTCCTCTCTCTCACTCTCACTCTCTCTCTCTCTCTCCTCTCTGTCTCTCTCTCTCGCTTCTCTCTCTTCTGCTGTCTCTCTCTGTGTCTCTCTCTCCGGTATTCTCTGTGTCTCGCTTTTGTCCTCTTTCTCTCTCTCTCGCCTCTCTCTCTCGTCTCTCTCTTCTCTTTCTTGCTCATGTGGTGTCCTTCTCTCCTTTCTTCTCTGTGTCTCTCTCTCTTTCTCTCTCTCCTCGTCTCTCTCTTTTCCTCTCTCCCTGGCTCTCTCTTTCTCTAATCGATTTATCTGATTAAAGTTAAACTAATTTTGGCCTCTCCAGAGATTTTAAATATACATGAACGCACGCACGCGGCAGTGTCATTGTAGAGCTCTCAGTATGATTACGCTCTCTCTCTCTGTCTACTCTCTCTTTCTCTATCTCTCTCTCTCTCTCTCTCTCTCTCTCTCTCTCTGTCTCATGTCTCTCGTTCTCTGTCTCTCTCTCTCTCTCTCTCCTCTCTTCTCTCTTCTCTCTCTCTCTCTCTCTCTCTCTCTTCTCTCCTCTTTCTCTCTCTCTCTCTCTCTTTCTTGCTCCTCTGTCTTCTCTTCTCTCTCTCTCTCTCTCTCTTCTCTCTCTCCTCTCTCTATCGTATTTCTTTCCTCTCTCTCTCCGCTCTCTCTCTCTCTCTTTTCTCTCTCTCTCTTATCTCTGTCTCTCTCTCTCTCTCTCTTCTCTCTCTCTCGCTCTCTCTCTCTCTTCTCTTCTCCGTCAGTGTGGTGATCCGGCTGTGCGACTGGTGTGCTGTAGTTGTGCTGTGTGTGTGTGTGGCGGTGTGTGTGTGTGTGTGTGCTGTGGTTGTTTCTGTTCTCTCTCTCTCTCTCTCTCTTCTCTTCCCTCCTCTCTCTCTTCTCTCTCTCTCTCTCTCTCTCTCTCTCTCTCTCTCTCTCTCTCTCTCTCTCTCTCTCTCTCTCTCTCTCTCTCTCTCTCTTCCTCTCTCTATCTCTCTCTCGCTCTCTTCCTCTCTGTCCGCTCCTCCCGAGGGCGGAAAGATATACGGCCTCGTGCGCGCGGCGAAGGGGGAGGGGGAGGGAGTGGGGGTGGGAGCCACCCTCCCGCCGCGGGCATGCCGCTGCCTCCCACGAATAGATCGAATTGTCGAGGCAACTCGACGCGGTGGGTGGGGGTGGGGGAAGATTGATTTCTGATGTCGGGCGTGAGCGTCGAGCGCGGTTTTGAAACGGTGCGCATGCGCGCGACGCGACGGTGTTGGCGATGAAGCCTGCACGCGGGCGTGCGGTTAGTGTTCGCGTGCGTGCTCGCGTGTGTGCGTGAGTGCGTGCGTGCGTGCGTGTGTGTGTTTCTGAGACCCTTCTATATTTCTACCGCGGTCTCTCTCTGTTTCTCTCTTTCTCCCCCCCTTTTTCTCTGTCTCTCCCCTTTTTTCTCTGCCCCCCTCTCTCACTTTCCGCCCGTACAGTAGCCACACAGTAGCTACTGCTGCTGCTGTTGCTGTTGCTGCTGCTGCTACTGCCGCTGTTGCTGCTGTTGCTGCTGCTGCTGCTGCGGCTATTGCTGCTGCTGCTGCTGCTATTGCTGCTGCTGCTGCTGCTGCTGCTGACTCACCCGCTCTCTACGAGATTAATACATAACGCCGAGGAGTTGCCGTAAAACAATTCACGGATAAAAAAATGACGTGCTCTAATGCACGATCGACCCTCCGGTCCCCCTCCCCCTCTAACGCCTCTCATCATTCCCCCTTCCCCTTTCTTCCTCTTCCCCTCTCTATGCCCCTTCCCCTTCTCCGGCCCTTACCACCGCCGCCACACGAAAAGCCAGAGCGTGGCGTAGCCATCGTCATCATAGTCGTCGTCAACATCCTCCTTATTGTCATCATCATCATCGTCGACGTCGTCAACATTGTCGTCAACGTTTTATCTCTGACGCCGTGTCGTTAGTAGTAGAAGTTGTTACTACTATTATCTTACTTGCTATCGGGCTACTAGAATTCTAACATATATTTTATGTAATTAGTACCGAATTTCTACGCTAATAGAATTCATTCTATTAAATGTTTCCATTGTTTCCATTCCATGTTTTGCAAGCGAACTGCATATTTTGATGTTGTTATCCTTGTTGGTATAAATGTATAGCTGTTGTCCCGTGTTGCGGTTTGTTGTTGCATGTTGTTGTATGATGTTGTTTGTTGTTGTATGTTGTTGTGTGATGTTGTGTGTTATTGTCGGCAGTAGTAATCTCGTAATTCGCGTTGTCTGCTGCTCTGTGTTGCCGTTTGTTGTTGTATGTTGTTGTATGTTGTTGTATGTTGTTGTATATTGTTGTATATTGTTGTATGTTGTTGTATGTTGTTGTATGTTGTTGTCGGCAGTAGTAATCTCGTAATTCACGCTGTCGTGACGTCACATCCGCGCATCCGCCGAAAAACAGCCGAGATGTCGCTGCTACATTTTAACCACATTACATTTTTACAACATTTTTCCATTTTTACTACAATTTTTACATTTTAACATTTTATGTGTTCTAACCGATTTGTCTGTTCTAACCGACGATGTTCTCTTGTTGCTCTGCAGGACGGGCGCCGCTTGGCTGCGCTCGGGTCGATGCAGGGCGTGCCGATGGTCGCCTCTAGTCCCGTAAGACATGAAAGCAGTCTGCAGGCGAACCCGATAGACGTACAGCAGTACCAGCAGCCGCCGTGGCAGGCGCTCAGCGAGTTCGCTATGAAGAGCGACCTCGACCAGAGTCAGCCGCCCTTCCAGCAGCTGGTAAGTCAGAGTCAGTCCGCCTGGTGGCGCGAGAGTCGCGGAAGCTGATAGCGGCCTGCTGGTGGTGGTAGCGGCCATGGATAGGCAGTATGGTGCTGTAAGGGTTAGACCACCCACCCCACCCGCTGCCACCCACCCCACCCGCCGCCACCCACCCTACGCACCGCCACCCTCCCCCATCCGCCACCTTCCCCCACCCGCCCCCCTGTACGCGTGCGACGGCCACTAGAACCACTCCACCCGGCGGGACGCGGACAAGTTTCGGAGCAGTAATGAAAAATTAATGTTTATGTTGGCCGAGCGCGAATGAGGAGAGCGCCAATATCGCGCAATCTGGCGCACAAAAGCTCATTCACGGCACCCTTAGCCCATCGATTTCTGATACTAGGCTCCGAGTAGAGCGAGGTCTGTATACAGAGACACACCCACACAATATCTCCTAGCGAACCCTACTGCTATACAATACCCTGCCCCTACATATAGCTATGTAATATTAATATTGTGTAGCTGTAGGAACAGCTATGTAATATCATGTAGGGGCAGCTATGTAATAATGTGTAGGTGTAGGAACAGCTATGTAATATTGTGTAGCTGTAGGAACAGCTATGTAATATTGTGTAGCTGTAGGAACAGCTATGTAATATTGTGTAGGTGTAGGGACAGCTATGTAATATTGTGTAGGTGTAGGAACAGCTATGTAATAATGTGTAGCTGTAGGGACAGCTATGTAATATTGTGTAGCTGTAGGGGCAGCTATGTAATATTGTGTAGCTGTCGGGACAGATATGTAATATCATGTAGGGTGTAGCTGTAGGAACAGCTATGTTAATATTACATAGCTATCCCTACAGCTACACAATATTACATAGCTGTCCCTACAGCTACACAATATTACATAGCTGTCCCTACAGCTACACAATATTACATAGCTATCCCTACAGCTACACAATATTACATAGCTGTCTCTACAGCTACACAATACTNTATTAATAACATAACATATAATATATAACATATAATATAATGTAAATTAATTATTAATATAGTAATAATAATTAATTATAATAATATATAACATAATTGAGCTATTGTGTTATATATAGTTCCGTGCAGACACAGAATATATTATTATGGCGGTCCCGTACAGCCGCACGATATCTGCAAGGCTATGTAGAGCGTCATATTATCACGCAAGAGTCTGCGTGAGCGGAAACTTCCCACGGGGGGGATTATAAACACAAGCTGACGATATCCCACAGGATTCTCTGTATCCAGACAACAGCTCCTAGCAAGCCGTGCATTTATACGGTGTCACACGGGAGCATGTCCAACTGTCCGCTATATCCCGCAGTATTGCTCTCTGAACAAACGACGATGCTTTACAAAGAAGCGTCCGTCACGCACACACGCACGCGCACGCTCACACACGCACGCGCACGCTCACACGCGCACGCACGTACATGCACGCACGCACGTACATGCACGCGCACACACACACACGCGCGCGCATACACATATACATACGGGCGCGCATACTTACACATACACATATACACGCGCTCGCGCACGCTCACGCACGCACGCGCGCGCACATACACACACATACGCGCGCTCCCGTCCTCACCCTTCCCGCACCCTCCCCCGCTCCCTCACTATCCCGCACCCCTCCCTCACCCCGCACCCGTCCCCCCGGCAGTGTCACGGTGACGGAAGGGTATCTACTGTTACGGGCGCGTCACGCTGAGCGAGAGGCGCGCGCGCGTATGGTCGTATTGACCAAGTGCTGTTGAGTTATGTAAATCCATTTCCGACCAGAACCCGCTCGCTTTTCGCGTCATTATGCGGTCGCTATTAAATATGCATGTCTAATGGGAGCGCGGCGGCAGTGTGTGTGTGTGTATGTGTGTGTGTGTGTGTGTGTGTGTGTGTGTCGTGTGTGTGTGTGTGTGTGTGTGTGTGTGTGTGTGTGTGTGTGTGTGTGTGTGTGTGTGTGTGTGTGTGTGTGTGAGCGCGCGCGCGGGCTGGTGAGTATTGCGTATACACATACACGACACGAACGTGCGCCGTGGCCATGCATTCGGCATGACGAGCACACAATGACACGACGATACACGACTTGTCGCAATGAGCGACACCACATATATACATATATAGACACTGTGCGTCGCAGCAGGCACACATAAACGCACAAAAGTACACCTCGCGCAAGCACACATACATAGCACACACGACACACACACCACACAACACATACACACACACACACACACAACACAACAGCACACACACACACGCCACGAGCACACACACACACACCACACGACACCGCCACAACACACATGCCAGCACTGCAACCCTATATTGTTTTCGTTGCATCGCATATCATCGTAATTGGCTACAGCATGAACCCGAGCAGCGGGCAGCGCGATCGTGTGTTTGGCTTACGTCGGATTTCAATCTTCAGCCGCGCGCGCGCTCTCTAATTGAATTTGCGGGCCATGAAATCCGTCCGTTTAGCGCGCTCCGATCTCCTTGCTTTACATCGACGAATAATCGGCCGACGAAGATCGGGGGAGGGTTAATTCACGGCGGGAAGGGCTAGACGGGTTCTACGCGTCGGTGTGTGTGTGCAGCAGACGGCAGTGGGAGAGTTGAGTGAGGACAGTCTAGAAGGAAGTGGCGATTCGATTGGTGCAGCGGCGGCAGGGATGGGTTCGTCTGCCGCGGCGGTGACACCCGCGTGTGCATGAGAGAGAGAGAGAAGGAGAGAGAGCGATGGAGAGAGAGAGATGAAGAGAGAGAGAGAGAGAGGAGAGAGAGAGAGTGAGAGAGAGAGAGA